TATATATATATTTTAAGAATTATATTTCAAATAAAGTTAGTATCTATCTTTTTATTATAAATATATTCGTCAAATATATTTAAAAATAAAAAATATAAATATACGTTATAAATCTATAATATTATATGTATGTATAAGTAATATACCGATCAGATCGGATATTTGGATTTTTAAAATTAGTATTTGTGATTTGTTTCGGTTTTGACGGATACTCAATTTTATTATTTGATTGCTTTGATTCAAAACGGATATCCGAATTTTTTGGATTGGATCAAAACGAATACAGAATTGGATCGAATTTAACGGATAATTTCTCAGCCCTAGATAATCTTACTAATTGCTCACACTCTCCCCATCATTCCTCTCTTCTCTTATACAGATTTTATGAAACGATCTGATCTCTTGACTAAAGTCGTACATAAAGTTTTAGTTTGCAGAAATTTAAAAAACTTCTTACAATTGTTTTAAGCAGTGACGGACTCAGAAATAAAATTTACCAAGGTCAATAATAACATTTAAATATATAAAAGTGTATTATAGTTGATTAAAGCGTATATAAATCTTATATAGTTTTTTCTGTATGTCATAGAATCTTATTATATTGTTGTCTATAAAAGAAATTATGATAAAAAGAAAAAAATTTCATATTTTGACAAAAAAAACCGTAAATTAATGTTTTTAAAGAGAAGTAGTTTAAAAATTAGAGTAAAAAAAAACAGAAATGTTGCAAAACTTGAAAATAAAAGTGACTGAGGGCATCGTACCCAAGATCACTCATTTTAGGGGGTGCAACATTTCCATTTAGGTTTGAGACTATACTTGTCGTTGACCATAAACTAATGTTTATAAAGTTTACATAGGTCAGTTGACCTCCCTAATTATAACGTCGATCTGCCACTGGTTTTCAGGAATAACTCCTAAAAAAATTGTTGGCTTCACAAAACATATACATATAAAGGGATACTCATATTTAGGCTACAGAAAATAGTAAAAATGTAACTCGCTACTTTAATAGAAAGAGAGAGACATTACCACTTAATTCTTGAGCTCTGATTGAGGAGATGAATAGAATGAAGGAGATGGTGCTGAAATGTGGGTATTTATTGACACCTGCCACTCGTTTTTTAGTTGTTTATTTAATTATTTCCAACTTTTCCATCTATTTTTTCACCTTTTTCCGTCATTTTTTTTTTAAGTATACCTGTATGTTGTACCTAACTTATGAATTGTGTGAATCACGAGGGCAAATGCAAATATGCAATAACTGTCTTCGGTAAGAGTCCATCATGATCGAGCATTCTGACATCAAACTCTGTGGACACTGGACATGTGATAAAGGATGAAGAAAATTACAGAGTATTTTCTTAGTAAGAAGAAAAACAACGAGATAAGAGGAAAACAGTATGAGACTATTTGGGAGACACGATAGGTTCAAGGGTGAATACATATAACAAGTAGATTGTGATTCCACTCAAGTATACATATCAAAGAGGCATTCACATGACATCATAAAACGTCAAATTGGTCATGTAATTTCTTCTTGTTCTTTTTTTAGGAACAGCAAAAACCAGATTAAAAAAATAAGAATTGAAGAGAAGAGATTCAACGATATATGAAAACAATTTTTAAAAACATACAGAGTCCATATATGATATTCTTCCTTAATTCATAAAACATTCGCTTTGTGGCGGATTTGTGAGATTTTGAATAACATGATATAACTGTGTTGAGACTATAATATAGTGAATCCGATTATATAC